TCTTTCTGCTGTATCCTCTGGTCTTTACAGTGTCGTTTGTGCAGCCGAAATAGCTCAGTTGTGAGAGCGTTAGACTGAAGATCTAAAGGTCCCTGGTTCGATCCCTGGTTTCGGCAATAACTTTTGTCATTTCTTGACAAGATGTTATACAAATATTTACCATCAGCATTTTCTAGAAATTTGACTTCTTTCTTCTGTCTCCTCTGGTCTTTACAGTGTCGTTTGTGCAGACGAAATAGCTCAGTTCGGAGAGCGTTAGACTGAAGATCTAAAGGTCCCTGGTTCTATCCCTGGTTTCTGCAAATCTTTTGTCATTTCTTGACAAGACGCTATACAAACATTTAGCATCAGGATTTTCTAGAAATTTGTGTATTTAGTGCAGCCGAAATAGCTCAGTTGGGAGAGCGTTAGACTGAAGATCTAAAGGTCCCTGGATCGATCCTGGTTTCGGCAAAATCTTTTGTCATTTCTTGACAAGATATTATACAAACATTCGCATCGCATCAGCATTTTCTAGAAATTTGTGTGTTTTCTGCAGGCGAAATAGCTCATTGGGAGAGCGTTGGACTGAAGATCTAAAGGTCCCCCTGGTTTCGGCAAAATGTTTTGTCATTTTTGACAAGATGTTATACAAACATTTATCATCAACATTTTCTAGAAATTTGACTTTTTTCTGCTGTGTCCTCTGGTCTTTACAATGGCACTTGTGCCGCCGAAATATGTTGGTTGGGAGAGCGTTAGTCTGATGATCTAAAGGTCCCTGGTTCGATTCCTGGTTTCGGCAAAATGTTTTGTCATTTCTTGACAAGATGTTATACAAAATTTCGCATCAGCATTTTCTAGAAATTTGTGTTTTGTGCAGCCGAAATAGCTCAGTTGGGAGAGCGTTAGACTGAAGATCTAAAGGTCCCTGGTTCGATCCCTGGTTAGTGTCCTCTGGTCTTTACAATGGCAATTGTGCCGCCGATATATCTTGGTTGGGAGAGCGTTAGTATGATGATCTAAAGGTCCCTGGTTCGATCCCTGGTTTCGGCAAAATATTTTGTCATTCCTTGACAAGATGTTATATAAACATTTAGCATCAGGATTTTCTAGAAATTTGACTTCTTTCTTCTGTCTCCTCTGGTCTTTACAGTGTCGTTTGTGCAGCCGAAATAGCTCAGTTGGGAGTGCGTTAGACTGAAGATCTAAAGGTCCCTGGTTCGATCCCTGGTTTCGGCAAAATCTTTTGTCATTTCTTGACAAGATGTTATGCAAACATTTAGCATCAGCATTTTCTAGAAATTTGACTTCTCTCTTCTGTCTCCTCTGGTCTTTACAGTGTCGTTTGTGCAGCCGAAATTGCTCAGTTGGGAGAGCGTTAGACTGAAGATCTAAAGGTCCCTGGTTCGATCCCTGGTTTCTGCAAAATCATTTGTTATTTCTTGACAAGACATTATACAAACATTTAGCATCAGCAATTTCTAGAAATTTGACTTCTTTCCGCTGTCTCCTCTGGTCTTTACAGTGCGTTTTATTCAGCCGAAATAGCTCAGTTGGGAGAACGTTAGACCGAAAATTTAAAGGTCCCTGATTTCGGCAAAATTTTGTCATTTTTTGACAAAATGTTATACAAACATTTAGCATCAGCGTTTTCTAGAAATTTGATTTCTTTCCGCTGTCTCCTCTGGTCTTTACAGTGTCGTTTATGAAGCCGAAATAGCTCGGTTGGGAGAGCGTTAGACTGAAGATCTAAAGGTCCCTGGTTCGATCCCTGGTTTCGGCAAAATGTTTTGTCATTTTTTGACAGGATGTTATACAAACATTTAGCATCAGCATTGTCTAGAAATTTGACTTCTTTCTGCTGTATCCTCTGGTCTTTACAGTGTCGTTTGTGCAGCTGTAATAGCTCAGTTGGGAGAGCGTTAGACTGAAGATCTTAAGGTCCCTGGTTTCGGCAATATGTTTTGTCAATTCTTGACAAGATGTTATACAAACATTTCGCATCAGCATTTTCTAGAAATTTGTGTATTTTGTGCAGCCCAAAAAGCTCAGCACAAACATTTAGCATCAGCATTTTCTAGAAATTTGACTTCTTTCTTCTGTCTCCTCTGGTCTTTACAGTGCCGTTTGTGCAGCCGAAATAGCTCAGTTGGGAGAGCGTTAGACTGAAGATCTAAAGGTCTCTGGTTCGACCCCTGGTTTCGGCAAAATCTTTTCTCATTTCTTGACAAGATATTATACAAACATTTCGCATCAGCATTTTCTAGAAATTTGACTTCTCTCTTCTGTCTCCTCTGGTCTTTACAGTGTCGTTTGTGCAGCCGAAATAGCTCAGTTGGGAGAGCGTTAGACTGAAGATCTAAAGGTCCCTGGTTCGATCCCTGGTTTCGGCAAAATCCTTTGTCATTTCTTTACAAAAGGTTATACAAACATTTAGCATCAGCATTTTCTAGAAATTTGTGTATTTTCTGCAGCCGAAATAGCTCAGGTGGGAGAGCGTTAGACTGAAGATCTAAAGGTCCCGGGTTCGATCCCTGGTTTCGGCAAAATCATTTGTTATTTCTTGACAAGACATTATACAAACATTTAGCATCAGCAATTTCTAGAAATTTGACTTCTTTCCGCTGTCTCCTCTGGTCTTTACAGTGCATTTTATTCAGCCGAAATAGCTCAGTAGGGAGAACGTTAGACTGAAAATCTAAAGGTCCCTGATTTCGGCAAAATTTTGTCATTTTTTGACAAAATGTTATACAAACATTTAGCATCAGCGTTTTCTAGAAATTTGATTTCTTTCCGCAGTCTCCTCTGGTCTTTACAGTGTCGTTAGACTGAAGATCTAAAGGTCCCTGGTTCGATCCCTGGTTTCGGCAAAATCTTTTGTCATTTCTTGACAAGATGTTATACAAACATTTAGCATCAGCATTTTCTAGAAATTTGACTTCTCTCTTCTGTCTCCTCTGGTCTTTACAGTGTCGTTTGTGCAGCCGAAATAGCTCAGTTGGGAGAGCGTTAGACTGAAGATCTGAAGGTCCCTGGTTCGATCCCTGGTTTCGGCAAAATCTTTTGTCATTTATTGACAAGATGTTATACAAACATTTAGCATCAGCGTTTTCTAGAAATTTGATTTCTTTCCGCAGTTACCTCTGGTCTTTAAAACAGTTAGTTTTAAACAGCCGAAATAGCTCAGTTGGGAGAGCGTTAGACTGAAGATCTAAAGGTCCCTGGTTCGATTCCTGGTTTCGGCAAAATCCTTTGTCATTTCTTGACAAAAGGTTATACAAACATTTAGCATCAGCATTTTCTAGAAATTTGTGTATTTTGTGCAGCCCAAAAAGCTCAGCACAAACATTTAGCATCAGCATTTTCTAGAAATTTGACTTCTTTCTTCTGTCTCCTCTGGTTTTTACAGTGTCGTTTGTGCAGCCGAAATAGCTCAGTTGGGAGAGCGTTAGACTGAAGATCTAAAGGTCTCTGGTTCGACCCCTGGTTTCGGCAAAATCTTTTGTCATTTCTTGACAAGATATTATACAAACATTTCGCATCAGCATTTTCTAGAAATTTGTGTGTTTTCTGCAGCCGAAATAGCTCAGTTGGGAGAGCGTTAGACTGAAGATCTACAGGTCCCTGGTTCGATCCCTGGTTTCGGCAGAACGTTTTGTCATTTTTTGACAAGATGTTATACAAACATTTATCATCAACATTTTCTAGAAATTTGACTTTTTTCTGCTGTGTCCTCTGGTCTTTACATTGGCACTTGTGCCGCCGAAATATCTTGGTTGGGAGAGCGTTAGTCTGATGATCTAAAGGTCCCTGGTTCGATTCCTGGTTTTGGCAAAATGTTTTGTCATTTCTTGGCAAGATGTTATACAAACATTTCGCATCAGCATTTTCTAGAAATTTGTGTGTTTTGAGCCGAAATAGCTCAGTTGGGAGAGCGTTAGACTGAAGATCTAAAGGTCCCTGGTTCGATCCCTGGTTTCGGCAAAATCTTTTGTCATTTCTTGACAAGATATTATACAAACATTTCGCATCAGCATTTTCTAGAAATTTGTGTGTTTTCTGCAGCCGAAATAGCTCAGTTGGGAGAGCGTTGGACTGAAGATCTAAAGGTCCCTGGTTCGATCCCTGGTTTTGGCAAAATGTTTTGTCATTTCTTGACAAGATCTTATACAAATATTTAGCATCAGCATTTTCTAGAAATTTGACTTCTTTCTTCTGTCTCCTCTGGTCTTTACAGTGTCGTTTGTGCAGCCGAAATAGCTTAGTTGGGAGAGCGTTAGACTGAGGATCTAAAGGTCCCTGGGTCGATCCCTGGTTTCGGCAAAATGTTTTGTCATTTCTTGACAAGATGTTATACAAACATTTCGCATCAGCATTTTCTAGAAATTTGTGTATTTTGTGCAGCCCAAAAAGCTCAGCACAAACATTTAGCATCAGCATTTTCTAGAAATTTGACTTCTTTCTTCTGTCTCCTCTGGTCTTTACAGTATCGTTTGTGCAGCCGAAATAGCTCAGTTGGGAGAGCGTTAGACTGAAGATCTAAAGGTCCCTGGTTCGATCCCTGGTTTCGGCAAAATCTTTTGTCATTTCTTGACAAGATATTATACAAACATTTCGCATCAGCATTTTCTAGAAATTTGTGTGTTTTCTGCAGCCGAAATAGCTCAGTTGGGAGAGCGTTAGACTGAAGATCTAAAGGTCCCTGGTTCGATCCCTGGTTTCGGCAAAATGTTTTGTCATTTTTTGACAAGATGTTATACAAACATTTATCATCAACATTTTCTAGAAATTTGACTTTTTTCTGCTGTGTCCTCTGGTCTTTACAATAGCACTTGTGCCGCCGAAATATCTCGGTTGGGAGAGCGTTAGTCTGATGATCTAAAGGTCTCTGGTTCGATTCCTGGTTTTGGCAAGATGTTTTGTCATTTCTTGACAAGATGTTATACAAACATTTCGCATCAGCATTTTCTAGAAATTTGTGTGTTTTGTGCAACCGAAATAGCTCAGTTGGGAGAGTGTTAGACTGGAGATCTAAAGGTCCCTGGTTCGATCCCTGGTTTCGGCAATATCCTTTGTCATTTCTTGACAGGATCTTATACAAATATTTAGCATCAGCATTTTCTAGAAATTTGACTTCTTTCTTCTGTCTCCTCTGGTCTTTACAGTGTCGTTTGTGCAGCCGAAATAGCTCAGTTGGGAGAGCGTTAGACTGAAGATCTAAAGGTCCCTGGTTCGATCCCTGGTTTCGGCAAAATGTTTTGTCATTTCTTGACAAGATGTCATACAAACATTTCGCATCAGCATTTTCTAGAAATTTGTGTATTTTGTGCAGCCCAAAAAGCTCAGCACAAACATTTAGCATCAGCATTTTCTAGAAATTTGACTTCTTTCTTCTGTCTCCTCTGGTCTTTACAGTGTCGTTTGTGCAGCCGAAATAGCTCAATTGGGAGAGCGTTAGACTGAAGATCTAAAGATCCCTGGTTTCGGCAAAATATTTTGTCATTCCTTGACAAGATGTTATATAAACATTTAGCATCAGCATTTTCTAGAAATTTGACTTCTTTCTTCTGTCTCCTCTGGTCTTTATAGTGCCGTTTGGGCAGCCGAAATAGCTCAGTTGGGAGAGCGTTAGACTGAAGATCTAAAGGTCCCTGGTTCGATCCCTGGTTTCGGCAAAATCTTTTGTCATTTCTTGACAAGATGTTATACAAACATTTCGCATCAGCATTTTCTAGAAATTTGTGTATTTTGTGCATCCGAAATAGCTTAGTTGGGAGAGCGTTAGACTGAAGATCTAAAGGT